GGTGGGGGGGGGGGGGAGAGGGGGGGTGGAGGTTCTATTGAAATTGAAAAAAGAAGAAAAATGAAAAACAAATGTAAAAAGGCAATCCGCTAGCGTGTGTAAAATACATTTTGGACTGAATCTAGTTGTAATATTTTAGGGGTAAATAAATTCACTTCAAAGTAGAATGATGGGGTTTAATGGGCAAGCTGCCTATAATGCCAACAAACCCAATGTCCCCAGGGCGAATTTACTGCACTTGAGGTTTTAATTGACACGAGCACAACAATAACAAAATAGTTATCTACTAGTCATGTTTTCTTTCTGTGATAATGTCGTAGCGTAAGACTCCATTGCTCGATTTTGCTGCATGCTCTGCTCCCAAAATGCAGAGAGAATAAAAGTGAAGGAGAATAAAAGTGGTCTTAGAATAAGGTTTGATTTTTTTTTTGATGAAAATAGTCATCTAAAAAACTATAAATAAATCTATTAAGATGGTACGATAAGTTTGTAAAGATTTGGTACAGTTTGTAAAAAAGTAGATGAGCAATTATGTTGAGTCATATAATGCATTATAAATCTATGATACATACTTTTGGATTATGGGTTAGTTCTTATAGTTATATAATGGGTAAATTTTGGATGCAAAAGAAAGTATAAGATAGAGAGATTCAAAGCAATGAGGATTGATTATATGTACAGTTTGATTTAAATACATAGTTAACCATAAAAATGGCCTGAGGTTTCTGCTTTAGTCAAGAAATCACGAAAAATCATGTTTTATCTTGAGTCTGATATCAAGCAACACAATCAATAGCAATATTTTAAAAAATTCACATTTTTACATGTAACTCAGTGAAACCTTTCACTTTGGACTTTATTTTGTGCACTCTTTATTTTGTTTAGCCCTTGTATTGAGCTTTCAGGAATTTTTTGCGACATGACTAACTAGCTGCATTTTTCAGAGAATAATGCAATTCAGTTTCCGGTGAGTTTTAGGGTTATTCAAATTTCTTTTATAATGTTAGGCTTGTACATGCTTCGCCCCGTGCAAATGATAAATTCTGAAGTAAAAATATAATATTTGTTTAGGTTGTATGTAATGAGATATACACGATATTGGACTATAGGAAGCTTTTTTTTACAACAAACAAAAGAAAAACCAGTAATGTCGTGTTATATTAATTTAAAAAGGTGAGTTCGTCTATGTTTTATATTTTAACGTGCTAATACATGAGCGCTCTTTGTTGGTTTTTAAGGTGAGATGTTGAAGTTTCTATATTTATGATTATGTTTTATAGTATTTTAGCCAGTTAATACATGAGCATGCATTAAATTCCTCTTCTGATAAGAAAATTTTGTGCTCTGTGACCCGATAAGTATTGTTGTTGCTCAAGGGTAGATAATTGTTGTATTACTTTTTGCGCCTTTACTGAGTTACATGAAAGAAAACTTCATTCAAAGTGCAGATGTATCAAAGATCAAGTTTCTGTAAAACTTCTTTTCTAAATTCCAGTCATTGCATTTATCTTTATTATTTGTTACATTTAAGGTATTTTTCAGACTGAAATTTATGTCAAGAAGTCGATATTGAAAGGCATGTGAATCGATAGAGAAAGAATTCATCATACAGAGTGTGGAGTTTTGTGAACTAGACCGTGACATTTGACAATTTTCATAATGATATTCTTAGAATCGCAATTGAAGAGTATACAACTATATGCCTTTGTCATCCCCTTTTTTATGTTTGTGAGAATTATGTTCAATTTGATTTATTTTTTAATTATTATTTGAAAAATTCAAGCATGCACTGCTTCCTCATCTTTGGTATTATAATAATAATCTAGAGCTATCTTTTGGGTACACTATTTAAGTATTTTTTTCCCCTTATGTTTGAATTTCTCTTCAACGTGTGAAATAGGGGGATCAATCTCTCATTCTTGCTACTTATCCCATTCAGAAGTGAGGAAGATACTAATGGAATTCAAGGCAACAACTCAAAACAAATTAAACATGTTTATTTGCAATTACTTCGTGATTATCCGAAGGTTAATTGGAGATGCTTAATATTTCAAAATATTGTTAAACCTAAAGTCATTTCCACAATGTGTTTACAATATCATAGGAAGATTGTTGACTATTGATAGGCTTTAGAAATGAGGTCTTAATGTGAATTTACTTGTGTGCTCTATCAAGCGCAACTGAATTAAGAGATATCTTTTTGGAGAATGTACATTTGTTAAGGACTCGTGGGTCATGCTACTGAATTGGTTGTAGATACAACTAGTACTTTTACTGGGTCATACAACATGTTAAGGGGAAAGACAAATATAGCAAGACTAATCAAATTAGAGTGTGTATATGCAATTTCAAGGCTGTGGGGATCTGAAATGGCTACTGCAGAAGCTTTATTTCTAATTTGTTTACCTTTTTTTTTGTTCTAAGTTTTAATTTAGGAGCTTAGATAACAGATTTTGTATAAGTAATTTAGCAGTTCGTGACTAATTGCTTTAAGGATTATTTAAATAAGCGGTGATTAAATTATTTTTTTTATTTTTTTTTTTCATCCTTGAAAATTGTATGCCTAAGTAAATTTATAAAGACTATCTCCCAAGTAATTGATATGTTTTCGCGCGATGGTAAATTTACTAGCTAAAGTTTAAACCGTGCGCATGGCTTTCTTGAGTCGTACGGAATTGACAATGCCATACAATTGTCCCGGGGCGTTTAGTGTCTGTCTCAAATTGGGTCCTTATTTTGATATTTTAAAAGCATCGACTACAATTGGAAAATATGCATCATAAATATTATACCATTTATGTTTGCAATAATACTTTATATTAGTGTAACCAGAATTGTTCTAATATACTCAAATTTCGTAAGTCCAACTTTACTCTTTCATCTTATTTGAATACTTATGTAATTCTCCACACAACTTAAATTTAGAGTCTTACATAAAATTCTTATAACAAAGTTGTGATTGGAATTGTTTCCTATGCATCTGAAATTGTCTATGGTGTTGTTTCCTATTGCTGTATCTGAAATTTCTTAGCACGAGAACCAAACAAGATTTAGTCATGGCGAGAAGTTTTGGTTCCGTTTTCCGCCTTAACGACAGAAAACAGGATTTATCAAATTCTATTGAGTCAATCAGTTTCAACAAGTTTGTAAGGAGTCCAAAAGGATCTGTTCATTCAGAAACCGACCTGCAAGAGAAAGGAAACTTTAAAAAAGGAACCAGCTGTAAATCAACTTCATATTTTGAAATGTCTTTACCTATGAATACTATTTTATTCATCTGAATCTCTTCATTTCTCCATCTGCGACTTGGAACAATTTCATATATTTCTCTCACACCCTGCCAGATACAGTAGTCAATATGCTTTTTGTTATCAGGTTACGGTAGTCAGTATGTTAGGAGAAAGAGAACACAACACCATAGACACAATCGATGTCGTACAGCTATTATAGGATGAGATTGTACTGAAATACTATTGCAATATTTTCTTTTAAGTTCCAGAAAACACAAAAATATCCTGCTTTGCTTTTTCTCGTAAAAGAACAAAAGTAACAAAAATGGTTGATAGACATTCTTGGCAACAGAAATTCTTTATATATCAACTTGTGATAGCATGCTGATAATTAGAGGATCAATGAGATATGGTACAATTTGGTCGCAGGTCCACTATAGGCTAATCGAAGAATTGTCTGCTACTCCAAAAAAACACAATGAAGGTGGAGGAGAACCCATAGTTGGCGAGAAAGAAAAAGTGGACTGAAATATAGATTAGTGCCACATCACTCGGAGAAGGTATTATATAAGTGCCAAAAAGGTGACCTAGCTAATAGCTCTGCTGCTTGATAGGAGCCAAAGCTGTAAACTAAAATAAGAAATGTAGCACCTTACTCAAGCTCTAGGGATACAAGTGGAAACAACCCTTTCACTTCTTTTTCTTTTTCGTTTTCAAGAGATTTACATCAAAAGCGACTAAAACAGTTAAATGATCTTTTCTATCTATGACGCTCGCAGATATTTTTGAAAAAGAAAACAGGAAGGGTACAGACGTTTTGGTTCACCTGATAGCTTTAGGAGCTACATGTATTACCACTACAACAGTATATTACAGCATGCAGCTAACTCCATGTAACATATAAAGTTGCAACTTTAAATGTAAATGACACACATCTGCATGGAGATGTCTTTGGAAATAATATTCCACCAAACGTAAGGAAAATTCGAACTTCCAAGTTCCACCGAAAAGAGAACCACCTACGTTCATCAGTGTTGAAGAGTCATTGCTTTTTGCATGAAGTATAGTAGGGAACTAAATTTATAACTGATGAAATATGCCAAGAATTGTATATCAGAATCTATTGCAATCAATGCACAACAGAAAGGTTGAGTTCTTAATTAAATATAAGTACTTTTTACAAGAAAAATAGTAGCCTAGCATGGAACCACAAAGAGGTGCGGTGGGATGGTTAGGATCCCTCAACTCTTAACCAGACGTCTCAAGTTCGAGCCTAGGGAATAGAGAACTTCTTGGTAGGGAGCGCTTTACCCCCCTTAATACCCCTACTCAGTGCAGATCCGTACTAGTCGGGCCAATAGGCTTCGGATACAGGATGGTTAAAGGAAAAGAAGAATAGCAGGGACGTCTGTTTGAGATTTATTTATTAGCTGAAAGTTCCATCACTAGTCAATCTCTAATTATGTGTTTCCCAAAGCATTTCTTTTTCATAAATTGGTAAATCAAAGCATTTGATCATTGTTCTTCTAGTTGTCATTTTATCTTGGCTCACTAGTTCTGGCTTTTAATCTTTTGAAATGATGCAAAATAACCAAAAAAGTGGCCCTAAACAATTTTAGAAGTAAAAGTAGAAGTGCTTCAGATCTTGATATTAGTTTTCTTTATTGTAGGACATGTTACCTGTAAAGTGTGGAGGTGATCCGAGTTTTTGACTCTTAAAATTCCCTTGCAACGATAAACATCCATGCCATACTTTTTATCCCAAAGGAGTTCCTCAAGCCATGTGCGAACCTATTGCCACAAGGTAAGTAAGGACCTTAGTGATCCAAGTGCCAACCTTTGTGCATGACATTATGCTAAAACCACAACAGGAGCATAAAAGCATAGTAATCTGGCTACAAGTACTGGTTCTGAGATTTACAGGTGTACTGATCTTCATAGATTTTTATAGCATGTATGAGACCCCTTAAAGGAAAAAAGGCTTTTAAAGAAAGGACAAGATATCAGCCACAATTAGCAAGCCCTTTTTGCTTTCCAAGGACAGAGAATCAGAGGACTCTGCAGCAGATGGCTTAAGTCACAGCCAAGCAAGCACATAGACCAGCAACCTTTTTAAAAAAAATTACCTTATCCAGGTCAATCTGCTGCGTATCACAGATGCACAATGTTCTGACTTCACTGTCATGAAGGCCTTTAGTAGTTAGAGATTTGTTCTCTTGCAACAATGCTTCCAGATGAGCAGCATGCTAAGAAAATTAAAATAAAGAAGATTAAATAGCTCTCCATCTGCTGTCTAACAATATCTGAATTTAGTGCATTAAGGATCATTGCTTACAGTAGGATCATATGCCTGGCAGTTTAATATCTTTGACAAATCAATTTGGCAACGAACAGAATGAATAATATTGGCAAGGGAATTAATATCACGGATTTCCTTCTCCAGTTCCTGTAGCATTGCTCCTGAGTCGTCTTGAGAAACTAGATCAACCTTGTTAAGAATGATAACATCCTACATCGTTAATAAATAAAAGTCAGACATGATTTCATTTCATGATCCAGACCTAAGTTGTATGGAGCGCAATCCTGGTTAGCACCTATAAGAATGGGATAACTGCTAGAAAGGTAACTTAGATTGAAAGCCTAATTAGAAACCTCAGATGATTGAATGTTGAGACTAACATATCAATTACCGCAAATGCTATTTGTAAGTAAGCTTCAGGAAATGAAGAGGAGTTAGGATTTGGTTTTAGCTGATACCGAAGGTTTTTTGCATCTACAACCTGTTACAGAAGCAAAATCAATTAAAACCTCTGGGAAAATAAAGTGACAAGTTTTTAAGAACCAGAATGCTATTGAGAACAATCAATAGCATATGAAGTTAATCATATAAGAAGGTACAATAAAAGGATGGACATGAAGTCAATAAGTAATTCCTTAATGCACATCTAACCAGCATGATAAATTTTAGTTGAATATTGCTGATCTAAGAATGAACACATAAAACTACAAAATCTAAACCGCTGCACTTTTCAGAAAATATTCTTTTCTCCATCCACAGAGAAGTGTAGAGAAAAAAAGGAAAATTCTGAAAACTTTATAAATTAAGTTTTAAATCATTGTAACACAGAACTCACAGTAATAATCGAGTCAAGCCTAACATCTGATTCCAGCTGATCATCCAACCAAAGCACGGATGCAAGAGGGGCAGGGTTTGCCAAACCAGTAGTCTCTAGCAATATATGGTCAAGTCTACAAACAAACACAATAGCTCCTTATCATTAGATGAAATATTTTAGCAAAGAACTACAGAACTCTGTCACCTGGCTCCAAACTTAACAAGGAAGGATTATTCAGAGAAAGCACTTGGTGAAAACAGATCCTTCTCATTTCTGTTCTTATTTAAAGATTCTTTTATTCTTATGCATTTCCTTGCCTGTTTTCAGCGCATGGTGTTCAGAGGTTCAAACAACAATACCCCTTAGAGAAGCTAATATTTAAATGCCAATGAGAAAGTAAAGAGAGAGACTGAAAAAGTATGAAATATTTGTTACACATAGGAAATTCCATCAGATTCAAGTAGCAGTCTCTTTAATCCCATTTCCTCAAGTATAGAACCAAGGCTTCATAGCAGAACAAAGTTATGCATAACCCATAATTCCACCAAAGAAACTCAATTCAAACTAACAGTAGCTTGAAGTGCATGTGTACAACCATCAGTGCATCACCTTCCTTGAGCAGCCCACAGCATAAAAAAGATTTCATTTTTAAGTATATATGCATATAAACAGTGAGAAAATAATGGCAAAGGACAGTGTGAAGGCGAAAGCACGATCATATTACCTCTCTTTTCTCTGAACAAGCTGCTCCAATGCTTGAACCAAACTATGCTTCACAGTACAACAAATACATCCATTTGCAAGCTCTACCCATTCTTCCACAAGACCGCCTTCTTCCCCTTCATTTATCATAGCTCTCTCGACTCCTATCTCCTCCCCAAATTCATTCAGTATCACTGCTATTCTCTTCCCATGTTGCTCTTTCAGTATATAATTTATCAACTAACAATAAAAGCAACAACTATAAGTCAACCCCAAACTAGTTAATACTCCCTTCTCTCCGGTTTATGTCACGTTATTTCCTCATTAATTTGTTCCAAAAAGAATGACACATTTCTGTATTTAAAAACACTTAAACTTTAAACCTCCAATATTACCTCATTTCAACCAAATGATTTATAGTCCCACAAATATGTATTGACTTGTTTTAGACCAAAAGTTTCAGAAGTCAATTTTTTCTTCTTAAATTCCTGTCTAGTCGAACTACATCACAAATGGCACGGAGGGAGTATAATTTAATAACTGAATATAAGCAAAAAATTTGTAGCAGTAGAAATTACGGTGGATTTTCCAGAACCAAGATAACCGGTGATGACGGTGACGCCGACCGGAGGAAGCTCGGGGTTTTCCGCCAGTTGACTGGAGTTGACGGCGTCGTTGATTTCGACGGCGAGTGGCGGTTCTTCGTCGGAATCCTCCATGCTCAGCTCCTTCAGTCGATTTTCCATTTTTTTTTCTTTGGAGAAGAGGATAGTGTAAATGGACTCTTTATTATTGGGCCAAATGCAGAGGGCCGTGATGGGCTGTTAATTTGTGGGCAAGTTACATATTTAGCTGGTCGACTCAAAAAAATAGAATTTTCATAAACAACTATTGTTTAGTGACTATTAACTTTCTATAGCTACCATATACATAATTACTTGCTATATCTACTATTCAGTTATTACGGTAATGTATTCACATGTATTCGCGCTGCTGTATTCATGAATACATCAGCAAAAAGCGCCTAAAATCAGGGCAGTCTAGTTGTACGCGCATGTATTCACATGTATACGCGCCATGTATTCATGAATACAATAGTAAAAACCGCCTAAAATCAAGGCAGTCCAGCTGTACGCGCATGTATTCACATGTATTTGCGTTGTTGTATTCATGAATACAGCAGTAAAAACGCCTAAAATCAGGGCAGTCCAGCTGTACGCGCATGTATTCACATATATTCACGCCATGTATTTATGAATACAGTAGCAAAAACGCCTTAAATCACGGCAGTCCAGTTGTATGTATATGTATTTATATGTGTTCGCGCTGCTGTATTCATGAATACAGTTATATGCGCATGTATTCGCATGTATTCGCGTCGTGTATTCATGAATATAGTAACAATAATCCCTTAAAAATAGGTATGTCCAGCTGCCTAAGAGAGAGGAAAAACATAAATAGCGTATTTCATGCTTCAATGGTAGTATATACCATAAAATATTTATTTTGCTATAAAATACAAAAGGTAACTATAGAAAATAATATTTTAAAATAATTTTGGTTTATAATAAATAGAGTGTATACCTTTGCTATAGGAGGTAAAATTTCTAAAAAAGTACATTCATTAGTTAATTATAACAACAACAACAAACCCAGTGTATTCCCATAAATGAGGTTTAAGGAGGTTAGTATGTACGCAGACCTTACCCCTACCTTATAAAGATAGAGAGGATGTTTCCGACAAACCCTCGGCTCAAGGAACAATGGAGATAAGACACAAGTAGCAAACAATAGTAACAACAATATATTAAGGTAACGGGCGCGAATAACACAACATGTAATAGTAAAGAATCATGAATAAGATAACACAAAAATATTCCTAGTACTACTGGTAAGCCTAGGAGGAACACACTACTATCTGTCAATCTACAACCCTAATCCTCGACCTCCACGCCTTTTTATCGTGAGTCATATCTTCGGTAAGCTGAAGCAATGACATGCGCTGCCTAACTACCTCTCCCCCAATACTTCTTAGGCCTGCCCCTTCCCTTCCTCAAACCCGCAATGGACAACCTCTCATACCTCCTAACCGGAGCATCTATGTCTCACATCTTCATATCCCCTAACCAACTCAGCCTCGACTCCCGCAACTTGTCCTCCACAGATGCCACTCCTACCTTGTCCCTAATAACTTCATTCTTGATCATGTCCTTGCTGGTATGACCACACATCCATCTCAATATCCTCATTTCAGCTACTTTTATCTTCTGGACATGGAATTTCTTGACGGGCCAGCACTCAACCCTATACAACATAATCGATCTAACCACCACTCTGTAGAACTTGCTCTTAAGATATAAAATATATATAAAAAAATATTTTATTGGCTATTAACTTTTTAGAGCGACTATACAATATAGTTTCACTTATTTTGTTGAGAATGAAGTGGCCCATTTCCAAGTGATAAGTTTCTAATTTTCTTTTCACATTGTAGGGAAAATTACTACTTTTCATTTCAATTTATGTGTCATTACTTGACAGTATACGTAATTTAAAATAAAATAAAAAGACTTTAGGAACGTAGGCAAGGCTTACGTTGTATTATGTATATATCATAATAAAACTTGTATTATGAACTTACAATTTATAGGCAAGGCTTTTAGTGAGCTAAATTTCGTGATTTTAAATCTCGTCATTATTTGATTGGCCAGCCTATACATAGCAAATAAAGAATCCTTTCTATGACAGATAATGTTAAAAACAAAAAATGCAAATACGCATATGGATTGTCTTTTCTTTTTTTTCTTTGGTTAAACTATCTGGTGTTCATAATTCATTGATATGACTAATTTAATTGCAAGGAGTTTTAACGTTTCCTATCAAAGAAGATTTCATTCTCAAGACTTGAACTCGAGATCTGATTAAGGATAGAAGAACGTTAAAGTTTTCCAATTTATATCAGTTGTTTCTAATAAATATATTTCATAAATAAGTTTTGTTTCATATAATTATTTTAGATCCTCTGTAGTGGATTACTTATTTGATCCAATTACATTGTAAAACGTATGTTGTGTATGTATCTATTTGGTCTTTGCTCGTAGTTGCTTTATTTGTTTCTTTAACATAATTTCATTCAAATGTTGGAAAGCATATATAGTCACCGGGGCGGGAGCTACAATAGAGGGTAGGGTTCGGGCGAACCCAGTGACTTTTTTCGAGAACTTATATTTGTATTGAAAAATTTACTATTTCTATATAAATATATCATGCCGAACCCAGTAACAAAAGAGGTTTGGGTTCAATGGTAAGAGTTCTGGGTGCGCGGGGAGAACACGTGGGTTTGAATCCCGCTCGAAGTAGTGTGCTATTTTGTTATTTTTTATAAATAAAATATCAGAAAGCACAATTGCTTTTTACAAAAAAAATATCAGAAAGCACAAACTAAGGACAATGTAATTCTCGAACAACTACAAAAAGAATTTCAGAAAGCACAAACTAACTACAATGTAATTCTCAAACAACTCCAAAGGACATTTTTGACTTACTTTAGACTAACATTTATTCTTTTTAATACATAAAACATAAAGCATTTTTTCTTTCTAATAAATAATTCATTTTAAACAAAAACAGCCAACACACCTTCTGTCTTTCTAATTCCCAAATCAAAAAAGCTAGGATTCTCTGCCTCTGTCAGTCTTTTGATCGCTGCTACAACCCTCTGCCGGAGTCGGGTGCCATCAAACTCTCGTTGTGTATGCTCTTATTCTCTTAGAAGTTAGACCCTTCTTCCTTCTTCAATTCTTCTTTCCTGATTTTTTCTTTTCATGTTTTCCTCTTATATTTTATATTTTACAATTTATACAAAATCTGATTTTTAATCTTTGATTCTAGGGTTGTCCCACATTTTGAACTTCATTCTCTTTGTCAATTTGTGCTTTTGTACTTTTCAAAAGTTTAAACTTGGATTCTCCGACAAATCGACACACAAGGTATGTGGGCCTACTTTCTTGTTTTTAGTTTCTTAGTGAGACCAACTTTCGGGTGTAATTTTGTTTTGTAATTTTTAGGGTCTTCTAGCAAAAGTCGATATGATCACGAGTTTTTATAAAGCTCAAGCTTCTGCAGCTTCTTCTAGCTCTCCTTTGTCAAGTTTTCTATGTCTAGTTATTAGTAACAATATTAATCCTTCCCAAGCATCGGATAAAGTGTTGGATTATGAGCCCGATCCAGCTGAAAGAAAACTAATTTCAGCATATCCACCTAATTTACGTGACAGAGTATAGAGAAATTATATACAAAATGGACCTTGTCAACCTCGTGGTTTTGTCTTTCCAAAAAGAAATTTTGGAGGAATAATGCGTCAGTTTAATCCTGAATGATTTAAAACTTCATATTCTCAATGGTTAGAATATAGCATTAAACAAGATGTAGTATTTTGTTTATGTTGTTACTTGTTTAAAAATGAGATTGGAGGATATGAAAAAAAAGTAGGCGATGCTTTCACAACAGATGGCTTTAGAGGTTGGAATAAAGGTTTAGAAAGGCTTAAATCACATGTGGGTGACGTGAATAGTATTCATAATCGATGTTTCAAGATGATGCTAAATTTAATGAATCAAGCATAATCTATTCTAACATCTTTGAACAAGCAATCTGAGAAAATTAAAAGTGAACATTGAGTTCGCTTGAATGCTTCAATTGATGTGATAAAGTATCTTTTGAAAGAAGGAATGCCTTTTCGCGGCCATGATGAGAGTGTAACTTCGACAAGAAGAGGCCATTTTTTAGATCTCTTAAAATGGTATGCGGATAGAAAGGAAGATGTGAAAAATGTGGCATTAGAAAAAGCTCCAAAAAATAACACCATGACTTCTCCTGATATTCAAAAAGATATTGTGAATTCTTGTGCAGAAGAAATAACGAAATCAATTATTGAAGACTTGAATAGGGATTGTTTTGGGATATTAGTTGATGAGTCTAAAGATGTCTCTCATAAGGAACAAATGGCTATTATTCTGCGCTATGTCAACAAAGAGGATGAACTTATTGAGCGATTCTTTGGTCTTGTTCATGTTAAAGATACAACTGCACATGCGTTATAAAAAATAATAAATTCTTTGCTTTTACAACATTCATTGAGTTCATCTTTAATACGGGGACAAGGGTATGATGGAGATAGTAACATGCAAGGAGAAATTAATGGTCTTAAAGCTTTGATTCTGAAAGATAATCCTTCGGCATATTGCGTACATTTCTTTGCTCATCAATTGCAATTGACTCTTGTAGCTGTTGCAAAGAAACACCATGATATAAATAATTTTTTTGACATTCTTGCTAATGTTTTGAATGTTGTTGGAGGTTCTTATAAGCGTAGGGAGATGCTTAGAGATGATCAAGCTGAAAAATTAAACGAGTTATTAGTGCTTGGTGAAGTTCATACAGGAAGTGGATTAAATCAAGAACTGGGCTTCAAAGACCAGGTGATACCCGTTGGGGATATCACTTTAAGACATTGCGCAACTTTATATTTTTATTCTCATCAATTGTTCATGTACTTAGAGTTCTTGCAAATGAGGGTTCAAATTATCAGGAGAAAGCACTAGCAAAAAGTCTAGTGGAAGATATAAGATCTTATGAGTTTGTGTATATATTACATTTGATGTTAAAAATAATGGCAATTACATATGATTTGAATATGGCTCTGCAAATAAAAGATCAAGATATTGTTAGTTCTATGAAACTTATTCATTTCACAAAAAGGCAATTGCAAATAATGAGGGAATCTAAATAGAATTCTTTGTTAGAAGATGTCTCTTCGTTTTGTGATAAGAATGGTATTGTGATCCCAAAAATAGATGAGAAGTATGGTCTTGGAAAGTCTAAGCATAAAAGTTCAACTGTTACATATTCTCATCATTTTCATGTAGAAGTGTTTTGTGCCGCTATTGATTTGCAACTTTCGGAGCTTAACAATCGTTTTAGTGAAGTGAATACTGATCTGCTTCTTAGTATGGCTAGTTTGAGTCCTGATGATTCTTTTGCAAATTATGATAAAAACAAGATTATGAAACTTGCTATATATTATCAAAATGAGTTCACTACTTCTAAGCTTGAAGATCTTAGTTTTGAGCTTGACAACTATATTGACTATGTTCGAGAAATGGACAATGCATTCTCTAACTTGAAAGGGCTTGGTGATCTCTCGAATACATTAGTTAAAATAAATATTCACAAGACATGTGGACTTATTTATTTGCTTGTGAAGCTAAGTTTGATATTACCTGTGGCTACTGCAACAGTCAAAAGGGCCTTTTCCTCAATAAAGTTTATTAAAAATGACTTGCGAAGCAGAGTTGGTGATGACTTTTTGAATGATTGTTTAGTTTGTTATATAGAGGATGGAGTATTTGAAAGTGTACCTAATGATGCGATCATTGATCGTTTTCAAAACATGACAAGTCATCGAGTGCAATTGAAATAATAATGTTTATATTCATATATTGTGTTTGTCTGGTTCGTTACCTTTAATATATATTAGATATCGATACTCATTCTTTAGTCAGCTTGTTATTGTATATTAGTTTTAGGTCATAGTATTTTCTTATAATTTAGAACCCATACACTTTAAATTCTAGCTCCGCCTCTGATAGTCACTGATTCTGCTTCGTTTAGTTCAAAGTAAGCTCTTCCTGTATTTACGATTTTAAGGAGGATGCGATTTTTTCTTAAAATTTTGAAATTCTTTCACAAAACAAAGAATGAGACGACTTAATTATAATTCTCAGGTTTGAATTATGATAATGGAAAAATCTTTTAATAGAGAGTGTTTCCAGCCCTACATAGTGTACATATGGATTAATCTGATCAATGGGCACCAAATACCGAAATGATTATGCTAAAATAATAAACAGTAAAATATAGACTTAGAGAATTAATGTCACCTATATATGCACATGTGAGATTGTACATGCAAATTAATGTAATTAATATTCCTCAACCCCCCTCCCTCCCCCCAACAAATACCTCCAACAAAAATGGACCAATAAAGACCCCGTGATTGCCATTTCTACTTCAGAGTTCCTCTTTTTCCTCCTTCAGTACTAGTTCACACCATATTTGAGTTTATCAACAACCAAACCACAAGACTTCAACTGCAATCATATTATGAAGCTCTATTTCAAATCATAATTTTTGTCTAACTGATGCTTGCAATATCAAGGTAAGCTGCCTATATTATACCCCTTTGGGGCGCGATTCTTCTTCAAACCCTGCGTGAATACGGGACGTAGTGGGTTCAACTGAACCTGATTCATCAAAAAATAATACTGTGTATATATTTTTTTTAATATAAATTTTCCCAGTGATCTGGGTGTAGTTGTATTCATGAGAAAGAGAACAAGAGGGGGACTTGACTTTACCTCAAAATTACAACACACGGACAAGCAATTGTCCTTCAAAAAAGGATGGCCTTAAAGCAAAAATTAATTATTCAGCCATCCCACCAACTAAAAAGGACTAACTAACAAAGAGATTAGCCTTGTCGTATCTTAGCCTAATGGTAGGCATCTGAAATTTGTCCAACATAAAGGGGCCCTTCGCACCTCTAGGAAGGTCCTCAAAGGTGTAATAGAAGGAGCCTTGTTGACTATTCTTGGCACTTTTTGCTAGATAATTCGAAACATTATTAGCCTCCCTAAAATAATGACTTACTTTGACATTAGCTTGACTCAATATTTGAGAGATGTCCATGATAATATGAAGCAACTTGTAATTGTTGGCTTGTTTGTCAATAATCATCTGAATGACTTCCAAGGAATCAAGTTCCAGTGTGAAATCGTTATATCCATTCTGCACGCACCATTCTATACCCAATTTAGTTGCCTGTGCTTCTGCTATGATATTGTTGCTGCAGTTGGCTGGCTGGGAAAAGGCCATTATCATGTTACCCTTACAATCTCTTAGAATACCTTCCAACCCTGCATTATTTATTGATGAGGTATAACTTCTATCAGTGTTCAGTTTGAGTGTGCTAGGCTTTGGCATCTCCCAACACACTATTGTGATTTTGAGAACAGGTTGTAGCTTGAACATTTTATCGCAAAAATTGACCCAAGGTAATGTCATATTAACTTTAGGGAAGGCTTTCTTAATAGCTGCCTGGATCATCCAACTATCATTTTCATTTTTGTCGTCTTGAACCATCTATTTTTGTCTATAATCTTCTTCTACTTTACTCTCTCCCGTTCAGTTTATGTGATCTTTTTTCCTTTTTAGTTCATCCGAAAAGAGATATTTTTTACAATTTGAGAATGTCACGACCCAAACTAACCTCTGTCGTGATGGCGCCTATCGTGGAACTAGGCAAGCTGACTCATTTCCAAAACAAACCGATATTTTCATTTCAAAGAAAATTTCAAGATTATTTAACATAAAACCTCCATTTAAAGAGTTCAAATCAAAGAAAAATAGAAGTGCGGAAAAGAAAAGCCCGACATCGGGGTGTCACTAGTCATGAGCATCTACTACAATCTGTCTAACAATATCAAGGCTAACTCAGCCTGTAAAATATCTAAATACAACTAGAGGAAGATAAGAGGGAGAAGAGCTGGGGCTGCGATTGCCAAACAACTACCTTACTATCTCCAAGAAAATCTGCAACCAGAACATTCAATAATCGCTACCGTGTCCAGCTACACCTGAATCTGCACACAAGGTGCAGGGAGTAACGTGAGTACGCCAACTCAGTAAGTAACAACAATAAATAAAGACTGAGCAGTAGTGACGAGCAATAAAGCATATAACGTTCATATCATGAAATCTCAGTAAAGTGCAACATGCTTTAAAAATCAGTGTTTGAATCGAATCATCTCGTTTAAACCCGGTTCCAGTAAAAATTATTTAAAGATATTTTTCCAACAGTTTTTCAAACAAAGGCTCAATGCAAAGGTGAGCAAAAGAAATGATGAAATCATAAACAACCCCTCGGGAAAAACATCACTTATAAACAGCCCCTCGGGCAAACCTCACAGTCACTCGTGCCACTCGGTCATACCTCACAATCACTCTTGCCACTCGGGCATACCTCACAATCACTCATGCCCCCAGTCACTTAGCACTCGGCACTCGACACTCGCACTCAGTAGGTACCTGCGCTAACTGGGGGTGTGTACAGACTCCGGAGGAGCTCCTTCAGCCCAAGCGCTATAATCTGCACGGACAACTCACGTGCTATAATAATAAAATATGCTGCAGGCGGGCAGCCCCGATCCACACTTATCCTCACAAATCAGGCCCTCAGCCTCACTCAGTCATAAA